CACCTTGCCCCCTGCCCCCGGAGAAGCCGGGTGCACTTCCTGCCCGCTGCCCGGCCCCCCCACAGCGCGTCCCGGGGAGGGGATGCCGGACGCCGCGGGTGTCACCCGTCCCACTGGCTCTGCAGCCCCCGCGCACCCCACCTCCACCCGTGACCCGCCAGGTCCCAGTGACCTTGCAGTTTTCGCTGATCCTCATCCCCGCCCCGGACCGTCTGCCGCCCTTTCTTAGACGTTAATTTCGTGGTTGGCCCATCGTTTTGCCACCGTGGAGGGATCCGCGTGTGCCGGTCCGTTCGGTCCAGTCTTTACCCCGTGGGCCGGGAGTGGACCTGCCTTCGTCCCGTGGTGACCAGACGAGCCCGCGGTCTGTCCTGTGGACATTTTACTCTCCGGGGCTTGACGGGCTGGCTTGCTCTGTTGGGTGAGTGCTGTGTCCTCGTGCAGCCGATGTGCAGAGGACCTGAGTGTGTGCTGTAACAGGCTCTTGGTGGGAGTGGTGGGAGAGTGAGGGCCAAAGTTGTCTCTCCCCCTTGGTGTTTTTGCCTGAAACACCCAGGGAGCAGTTTGCATGCAGGTTTTCGCAAGAGTTCACACTCGTGTGTAAATCTACCTTGTCTGTGGCACTGAGTCTGTGTGTGTGTTACACAAGCAAAATGCACTTTTTTTAAAAAAAAAAAAAAGGCATTCTGTTACGTGTGTGACTTGTTTTTAGCCATCGAGTAGTAAATTAGCTGTCACTGGAAGTGACCACTTTTCATCAGTAGGTAATGTTTTTCCCAATTGATAACGCAGTGCCCGAGCATTGGAGCCGCTCAGAGTGGAGTGCGGCCGTTCTTTCAGGTGTAGCTCACTGACATTTTCAAGTTCTGCCCGGGTGTAGCAGCGAGTAAGGGCTCTGCTTCGGAAGCCTGGCGCGATAGAGGATAAAGTCCCAGGTTCAGTCTCTGCTGTTCACTCCCGGGAAGTCTGACATTTCTTTTACTGCTGTGCAGTTATTGAGCACCTACTGCATGACTGTGTGGGGTGTTTGGGTAAAGATAAGGATGAGGGTGGGCACGGCCTTCATGGACTAGGTGGGTGGGTAAGACTGTACACACATGGTTCTAACAGACAGTTAAGGGACTGCAGAATTCAAATTCACAGGCGGTAGAGCTCACATCTCACTTGGGAGGTGGGTTTTCTGGCTTCTGGAATCTTTGTTTTGAGGATGACTAAGAATCTTGACAGGCTGGGAAAGGTCATCCAAGCAGAGAAAGGGGACGAGGAGCACAGAGTTCATACATTTGGGGAGACACAAGTAATTGGATGGAACATCAAGTATTTGTACCCGTAGCGAGGATGATAAAGCTCTAAGTAAAAATGGACCAGTTTGTGATTGTTTTGAATGCAGGCCAATGCCTTTGGCTTCGGTAGATGGTGACTTTGAGTTGGGAATGTAATGATTAAAGCTGTTTTCAGGGGTTAATCTGGCAGCTGTGCAGTGTGGATTGAAGTAGAGAGAACTTGGAGGCAGAAAGACCTTCTGGTTGCTGTGGTAATAGGTAGTGAGGGGCTGAGCTGTGGCCATAATTATAGGAAAGGAAAGGAGGAAGGAAGTGGATTAGACAGAATTGATGATGAGAGAAAATGAAGAGAGTAAAAATAACTGAGGTTCCGATCCAGGCTGTTTGGGAGACTAGTGGTACCGGTTGGAGCACGTCCATAGAAGCTTTATCTTCGGCATGCGTGTTACTTTGCAGCGAAGCTCTCAATCTTTTGGGGCTGAGTAAACCTTGGTGAATTTAAAGAAGTCTGCCTGGAAAATTTCCATATGCACCTGTGTTTTCTGGTTGTAATTTTGGAGAATCTGTGGGCTACCTGAAGCTTATCCATGGAACCCATGGGCCAGGGGGTTGGCCTGGAAGCAGCTCTCAGAATCACTGGGGGCTTTACAACAATAGAACCTTCAAATTCTTCCATTCACTGCTAGGAAGCCCTGCTGTCGAGACATGCTCTGTATCCACTCAGGGACACGTCTGTTGTGGTTTACAGTGAATTTTGACTAACTTATGTTAGTTGCTACTATATTATAGAACAAACTAGCCCAAGAGGTTAAATGATTTGTCCTAAGTATTTCAATTAGCAAGTGGGTAAAATGGAATGAGGAGTTGATTTCCTTCTCATATAAAGATGTTTGCAACTGATTCACCATCATTGGGTGTAGTTATTGCCTTTAAGTGCCCTCCTCAGTGAGAACTAGACAATCCTGGGAGGTTCCTTCCAGTTGCTAACAGTTTGTGACTCTTGGCTCTTAGGTTTTCCTTGGACTGTCTGCGGACCCGTCTCATTTCCAGGTGCCGCAGCGCTGGTGAGGCTGAGGGATGAATTGGGCGTGTGGAGAGCAGGTATCAGGCCAGTCATTTCCTTATTTCCTTTGTATCTCTGTCTGGACTCGGGAGTGGGGGTGGGGAGGGACATAAGTGAAATTAGAAACTTTTAGAACCTTTATTTTCTCTATTCAGGTATGCCCTACATCACTCCTTCCTCCATTCGGGAGAAAGCCTTTACCAACTAAAAATGTAAACTTGACAAAATAAACGGAGGGCTGGGACAGTGCGTTTTCTCACTGGATTATGTCGTTAACTCTCCCCAGTATGGTTACAGCATAATTTGATTAGTAAACAGTTGACTTTTCTGCATCTATAGGAATGTCTTCTTGGTAGAATCAGAAAAAGTTATTAGTATCTTTTTTAGCTCTAGAAATTTTGATTCCATAATTATTAGAAAGACAGGGGTCTTTTTTACTCTTTCTATAAAAATACGTAATTATAACAAGCATTAGAAAAAACAATAGGTGTTGATAGTGGTATGTATTCTGAAGTAACTGGTATAAAACTTAAAGGAGGAGAGTATCTGAGAAAGCACTACCTACATGATTCTCTGCTCTGCTGGCATCAGTTTGGTTCTCATGACCACAGAGCAGTAGGTGTGGCAGGAGGCAGTCATTGCTTTTTAGAAGACACTGAGGCTCAAATAAGTTAAAAAGGTTAAATTCCAGGGTATTGGCTAGTCAGTGCTAAACTAGAACTGGCATTATAACCTATGCTTTTGTTCCCAGGTCAGTATTCTTTTCCCACTGACTCAGTGCAGCGGTCACTGAAGGCTGTGGGCCAGGAGTGTAAAGTTACCTGTTTGGAATCTGTTACACTTTTGTACCATGTGGATCTGAACTTGTCTGTTTCCTCCTTCGTGTTAAAATGGCAATCTCATTGCAGTGGCTTTTGGTGGGTAATTTTGAAATTTGTAAGAATTTATCACAAAATAGTTATCATCCTGTCAAGGAAAAAGCAAAAGTTGACCTCTCATCTGAAAACATATACTGGTGAAAAGTAGGTTTTAGTTTCCTTTTGAAAACTTATGGATTTTAATGCAGTTGCTACAGGTGAATTTTGTTCTTTTATAAAGGCCTGAAAATTTGTAGTTTTGGATAAAATAAATCAGGATCTGATTTCCAGAAGTCTATATCATGATATTTCATGATTTTTACCATTACATAAAAAGTTTAATCATTAAAAAATGATTTACCATTAAAACACTGTTAGCAGGGGTTAAGGGGGGGGGGGGAGGAATGGGATACATCTGTAATATTATCAACAATAAAAAAAATATTAAAAATAAAAATAAAAAAAACTGTTAGTATACACTCCAAATTCGTGTTTAAACAACTTTTTGGGGAATAAATTATGTAAAACCATATGTTAAATAGTTCCTCGTGTATAAGGAAGACTAGCCTTTGTCTCAACATTCCTAAGACCTATTAGTTCCCAGCACTGCCAGGTGCGGGACCAGTGCGGCAGGCGCGCGAGGCCTGTCCTGAGACTCGGGCTAGTGGAGCCACTGTCAGGAAGGACAGAGGGACAGACTTGATCTTCTGGGATTGTGTGACTGTTTGGAATTACAGAGACAGTACAGCTCGGAGATGCTGTGGGTTTGGTTCCAGACACCACAGTAAAGTAAGTTATAATCTTCTTGCTGGTCGAGGGTCTTGTTTTCAGCAGAAACAACACCTGTGAAGCACAATGAAGTGAAGTGTGTCTGTAACTACACTCCTTTTCTCTGGGTTTTGAGAAAATTATGCAAAAACATAGGGAACCCAGTGAGCATTGTTTTGGCTATTTATTGCTATCTAACAAAATCTAAATGACTTCAGACGGCCGTTTGTTTTGTTTTGTTTTGTATTTTGCTCACAGCTTTGCTATCCCGGGCTGCCAGGCTGGGCTCATTTAAACAGTTCTGCTGTGGTCACTCTGATGGACACATTCAGCTGGCAGTTCAGCCAGGTGCCTGTCTCTCTCTCTGTCTGTTTCTCTTCCTCTTGTACCATATAGTCTTTTTAAAAAAGATTTTTTATTGAGTTTTAGAGATTGGAAGGGGGAGAGAGAGAGAGACACTCTCTATATGGATGTGAGCGAAACATCCATCAGCTACCTCCTGCACGTCCCTACGAGGGATTGAGCCTACAGCCTGGGCATGTGCCCTGACCGGGACATAAACCAGTGACCTTTCAGTGCACGGGACGAGGCTTGTACCATATGGTCTTGTTGTCTCAGGGCCCCCTGCCTTTGCAGAAGGATTGCTGGCCTTACTTGGTTGCTTAGGGCTCACAAGAGTGCAGAAGCAAAAGTAACCAGAACTCCTTAAGCCATAGACTTGGAACCAGCACAGCATCATTTCTGCCACATTCTGTTGGTGACAGCAAGTCACAGGTCAGCCCAGGTTCCAGGGGACAGGACCAGACAAGAGTGTGCATCCAGGATTGCACCAGACAGCTGTATTCTGTATTACATAATAGGGCTGCTGGGAAACTCCAGGGAGCAAGACCTGAGCTGCCTGGTACTTCTAGTGCTTTGTACCTGGCCCTCCTTAGGAAACCCAAGGAATCGGTGATGCCCGTCCCGTTCTGCCAGCCGGGTTTTCTCCCTCATCTTCATCACTTGTCTTTATGTGACTATCCCTTTATTTTAGTCTCAGCAGCTTTTTTTAAGTTCAGGTTTTCTAAGTAATGTTAGGGCTAACTGGCATGAAGGGAATGAGTGTTTTGTTGTTGTCACATCATCACTCCTGAGTGCAGTAATGAAGCTGCATACCTCATGTACAGAACACAGGTGCAGCTTCGGAGCCCTTTGGAAGCGCGTCATGCCCACTCTGCAGATCTGCACATTCTGAAACGAGCACACGGGCTGCTGTGGGAGGAGTCTGCTGCCTGAAGGACTGAGAAACATGACCTTGTAAATAGGAAGGGCTGGGTGCAGAGGAGGGGCAGATAGAATTACCGGACACAGTTCTGGAGGGCTCTCCTCTGCTTTAAGTTACTCCGCAGTTTAAAAACGTCCTCGCACTGACAGTCCCGGGCGTGAAGCTTTTACTTCTCTAAGGAATACAAGTCTTCTGAGAGCTGTTTGGTCTCCCATGGTCATGAGTAAAAAGGCTGGCAGGAGCACAGTGGTGAGTCCTGGCTGAAGACGTGTGCTGGCTGTGTAGCAGCCCCACGTGCCAGCAAGCCCTGCTCTCTCTCTCTCTCTGCATTTGGTTAGTGTGGGGAGGAAGGGGTAGTTCAGTGAACTTACTTTATACATTAGAACATACTTTACCTTAAAAGTAGATCAACTAATTGACCCTACTCTTACAGTTGAAGAATGAGAGCCGGCTGTCCTGTGGGGTAAGAGTGGTGGCTTGATCGTCAGGTGGTGCTGAGCCCTCAGCGCTGCCTCCTGGCCGGTGGCCTCACTTTCATCTTCTGGAAAATGTCAAGAACATCTTTCCTGCTGGGTCTTTCTAAGGGTTAATTGAAATAATGTTGGAAAGCAGAAAGTATGGTCCCTGGGACATAAGCAGCCCATAGACCATTTCTATTACTTATAACTCCTTATTATAAACTAGAGGCCTGTTGCACAAAAAGATTCGTGCAATAGGCCTTCCCTTCCCCTGGCTGCCGGCACCGGTTTTCCTCCGGCACCCAGGACCCAGGCCTTCGCTCTGGCTGGAGCTGCCTTCAAGCCTTCACTGCTCCGGCCGGAGCCGCCTGTAGTCTTCGCTCTGCCACTTCGTGCCTACGTATGCAAATTAACTGCCATCTTTGTTGGTGGTTAATTTGCATATCTCACTGATTAGCCAATGAGAGGCGTAGCAAAGGTACGGTCAATTACCATGTTTGTCTATTACTAGATAGGATAAGGTGAAATTAAAAGTCCACTTTTCTGGGATTCGCTCATTTCTCAAGGACTGTTGTTTTGGCATGAGCAGAGCTGCATATGAAATCTCACCTCCTAAGAAGGAAGTTGCTGAAGTGAATCTGAGAAAGAAACCCCACGTGGCAGAAGAGGGGTGGGGTGGGGGGCTGTGCAGTCTGGGAAGGAGGCACTGTGGACCCCATCATCATAGTCCTCTGGGTGTGTGCAAGCATGGGGATGGCTGATTTCCCTGCAAGGTCTGCGGCTGGTCCTTGACAGCAGGGCTCAAGAATTTCACGTTTAACAAGTAGCTCAGGTGCACATTCGTTTGAGAAGTGCTGTTAGAAACTGCGTGTTAGCGGGGATTCTGCTGTTCCCTGAGACACTTTCTAAGCTATAGCCCATGAAGCACACGTGTGACATGTAAGTGGAAAGAGATCTTAACATCTAAACCTTCCAGATGTTTAGAGGGGCTTAAGGTAAGTGCCAGGACCTATCCGAAGAGACTCCAGACCGATGCAGGGCGGTTTCAGTAAGGAGCTGGCAGGGCGACCCTGCTCCCGACAGTGCCCCTGCAGGAGAAGACACTCCTTGGAATGCTGACATTCACTTTAAAAAATGCCTATGGAAACAGCTAAGTTAGATATTGGGATTAGATATCAAATCATCTGCTTTTATCTTTGCTAAGATAAGCTCCTCAAAAGTGGAGACTCTCAGTGAAGTGTGTCTGATTAGAATGTGGTCTTCAGGTGGTAGAGGTGGGATGCCATGCTCCATCTGCTGGGGGAAACACCACTGCATAGCGGAGGGCCTTGGCCTGGGAAGAAAGTCATGAGAAAGTCTCAATTCTATATCCATTAATGAAGGAACCCCACAACTTGAAACTGTTTTCTCTAAGTCTTGCTTAGGACAAGTCTGTGTTGGTGTCACTTAAACCCTTTTCAGTCCCGTGATCACAGCTGTCGTTGCAATGGCAGATCTTTCAGCTGGGGCTGTTAGTGGAAAAACTTAACCTACGTTTATAGCAACCATATTTTTATGGTGTTAGAACATTTTGTGGTAAAAAACAACAACCAAAAACATGCCAACCCCTGACTCTGTCTCAACGTGAGTGGAAAGGATTAGTTGGCATTTTTTTGAGGAGCCTATTGTTTTGTGAGTGTACACTGACTTTG